TGAATGGGTAATGAAGAAAAACTTTTGTATTAAAGTTTTTCTTCATTACCCATTCAAGCCGTCTCCAGCCATTATTAGTCTCAAAGTGGGTTCCTCGTCATCGAATTTGAAAACTTTCTGTTTGTACCTGGAAAGTTATCAGTTTGTATCATGTTGTAGCTCTTGATCGAAAACTATATAAATTACAATAATTCAAGAGAAACTTCTAAAACAATACTGGCCATTGTAAGCCAATACGTCAAAAACAAAACTACGAGCTTATGTGTATGCACTTAAATATAACCACCAATTTGTATGTGTGTGTGTGTGTGTGTGTGTGTGTGTGTAAATAGGTGTGAGCAGCCCAGATTTTTCATGGCTGGGTGGTACCTGCTGTGTGCTAGTAAACATGCACAATTCCTAGTTGACTTGTGAACTGTAAGAGTACGTGTATTGTGCACTCTGAGTAAAGCCACCTCTCTAGTAAGTAAACACACACTTTGTCCTGGCAGATATGAATGTAGAGGCACATATCTGACTATTTCTAGGCCATGTGGACCATAGCATGAACGTTGTCATTGCAGACTTTGTTTCTGACGATCTTGGTGAACTGTAGAAGTTCTTTATCTTTGCCTGTGCAACAGGTGAACTGAGTCTTTGTGAAAAATCCATCCAATGCCAGTCTAATTCAATTCAGAGACAGGGTACTACTTGTTTTTACCTTGTAAAGGATACAATATTACCTCAGTGTATAGAAGTGGTAATTTACTATGGAGGAGCGTTAGCAGCATGTAATGTGACTGTTGAGCAAGCATGCGAGAGACACTGTTCTTGGCTTGGAAAGCAGGCAGCAGTATCAGATTGCAATCTGTTCATCTGGGAGATGAATTCCTAGTGTTGCATCTGACTGTGGAGAAGTAAATCCTTCACTTCACACGGAAACTTGATACGAGTCCAATAAGACAAGTGTCATTCAGGCTTTCCTGGAGCACTAAGGACCTAACCCACTCTTTAAGATAAAATAGACGGGATCAATAAAACCTTTTGAATGTATGGTAATCTCCAGTAATAATTGTTAATAGCAGGTGTTGCATTATTTCTGCTTGGTAAACACTGTGTGTTGCTGAACCAGTGGACATCTAATGCATCTATTTGCAATAACAGAAAGGTATTAACACCACTCTGCTGTCATCATCCAGTTCAACAGAAGCTAGGTCTAGAGTCAAAACTGCCTTTAACACATGGAATGGTTTGAGTTCCAAAACATGTTATTTTGAGAGGTTAACGTAACTATGCTTTTCAGAAGGGGCTGAAATGGGAGTGATGCTTAATATATGTAGATGATTTCTTTGTATTTCACTAAATGTTCAAGTCTGCTGTTACAAACTGTTTCACAATAGGATTAAAGCCCAGGAAGTATAGGATGATGTGCATGCAACTATAATTTATTGGTCATACCATGGGTAAAAAAGACAGAACCGTTGAAGATCACAGCAGACTGGCCCTAACATGTGACAAGACTAAAAGCCTGTCATGTTATTGATATTTTATGGCCAATTTTACCAAGGATACTGCACTAATGATGCACATTTGAGAAAGAGGGAGGATTGAGAATGTATTAATGTCTTTGAAGCATGCTTTAGTGGAATCTCTCATGCTGAGTATCCACATCATAACTGAGTTCCTGTTCGATACTGATGCTAGCAATAATGGAATTGAGGCAGTGTTGTGACAGTTTTACGTGTGTGGGCATTAGTGTTAGCTATTCCCTCCTGAAGGGAATAGGGATCTTTGTTTTTTAGGTATGATATTCTTTGTTATGAGGAATTTCATATATATGATTTTATCTTTGATAACGAAGTTTTCATGTATTTTTCTTTGCTTTGTACATGTTAGTGTTATTGGGAAAGTGAATTAATTGGGTCTAGCAACATGTTAGTCACTCCCATTAGTTAATATGCATTTAAAAAAAATGTCCATACTTTCAGTCACTCAAGTAAACAACTAAACTTTTCTTTCTCTGGTGCACACTGATCCATTATTGGTAATTTTGTGAGATAGATGGCTGTCATGCCCTTTCACTCAGATCTCTGCAAATGAAGGTTACATATGCAAGTTTTGGTAACGAGCGAACTTGGCTTTGTTAATGTTATTTTTGTTTAGTATTTAAAGCCAGGTTATATCCTGTTAGGCAGATTTTCATAGAGATTTGTCACTTTTTTATGTAGATTGTTATAGTGTTCTTATTTGAGCTTACTTGAACTTCACTCTAACATTGAGGTTGTTTGGTTTTACATTTTTTTTTTTTTAGTGTAACTTTAGAAGGGCTCACGTTTGACTGGTAAGATAAATCTATTAACAATTTCTGTACCAGGTCAGCACTATAAACACTTGTTCATCTTTTGTGTTTGCAATTTTGATTGTCCTTGTTTATGTTCTATGTCAGGACTGGCTCTTCATGACAAACTCGGGGTTCCAAGAGAAACGCACTGTGTTGCGTGGCATTCTCTGAACCTCCAGTTAGTCTGTTCACTGCTTTGTGTGAAATCGGTGCACTGGAAAATACCACATATTCATAGCTTAAAAATGAAAAAACAAAGCTAATTATTTCAGAAACTTTAACCACTGAACACGTGATCCTACCTACAGAAATATATAAATATACACAACATGCATTAAAACTAGCCCAACTTCACGAAATGCAATTTGGAAATGGAACACGTCTCACCTTTATGGCACAGCACGTGCTACATCCCAGTTACTCATGGTAACATAAAATTAGGGATGTTTCATAATTAGGATTAACATGTCAAAAAAAAGCTATATTTTAAGTAGAATACTTAAAAACCTGGATATAAACAGTAAATACGTAACTAATGTATAAAGCAATAATAATGTTATGAAACAAATTTTGTACACGCACGCACGCACGCACGCACGCACGCACACACACACACACACACACACACACACACACACACACACACACACACACACACACACACACT